ATATGCTGACTGTTAATCTAAACTACAGAGAGATATGAAGGCAATAAAGAGAGATGAAACTGTCTTCTTGCCTTTTTCCTTATAAGAAACATGAATCAGCATTTTTTTATTTTTTCAATGAAAGCAGCACGTCAATTTTTTAATCACACGTCAGCTGGTCACAGCGCCCTCTGTCTGTGGGCAGTATAACAATACATGAAACAGGTGTAGCGACAGACCCAAGGGAGCTGCAGCCACGTGGGGGGGGGGGGGGGGGTATTAGTCAATAAAGACCAAACTAGAACATTACTGGACCAAGCTGGACATAGCCTGGAAGAAAACGGGCCAGTAAAAGATTTGGGGGTGTTTCGTGAAGCAGGATTTCTCAGTTAGCTATGTGAACTTAAGTTGGTTGTCATGATTGTTCAATAGGAATGCTCCTCACTTAAACTCTTATTGGACAAGCCTGGTCTTTAGCAGGACCAAACTAAGCCAGGCTTTGAAAGAATGAGCTGGATATTTTCCTTTAGGTTCCTTTCTCACCTCTAAACTGTTATTTTAGCATGTAGGCCTCTTATATGACCTATTATCTGACTGAAAATTAGGATGTTTACTAGGCCTGTCAAGTAGATAAACTGTTTGTCTGTGTACCTGTGTCCTCTGTCACCTCAGCACAGCTAACATGGAATAAGTCTTTTGCTTTTCCATGAGTACCACCTATCTTGCAGACGGCAAAACGTTTTATTGAGGTGGTTATAGCAGTTATTTAAAGGTCAGGCACAGTACCAAAGAAAGCATTGAACCTTCCCCACAGGCCATCAGATTAGATACTGTGCATTAATATAGCATATCAGTTACTGTAGTGCACTGTGTCATTTAAGGTCTATCTGTTACATTTCTACAGGAGGAGTTTATACATACTTCAAAATTTTTGGTGTGAATAGTGAAATACATTGAGGGATTTTCATGTTTCAACAAGCAAATTCGATGCATTCGAAAGAGAATCTATACACAGTGATTTCTTACCATATAATCTGCTGATCACCCTGGACACTTGTTTGCTGCAAAGGGAGAAAGAAAGAGAGAGAATCCCTGAACTACTATGACTCAGATTCTGTCCGCCCTCCTAACCGTCCAGACCGATATGTCAGTCTGACTGTTGCCGTGGAGATACTGTGTACCTGCTTGTGCTATGCCTACCTCAGGGACCGTGGGACCCCAATGGTGGTTAAAAGGGACACATCCACTGGCCTCAGACCATGAACTGAAGAGAAGACCAGAGTTCAAATATGTGCAACACGGGCACTGAGAGTCGTACACTTTAATAAACTTCTACTACACATAGCGTTATTAAACCAAGCCCACGGTTAACTGTCGTGCAGTGGACCAATCATTTCATTCCGATGGCCTTTCAATTTGTGTGCAGCAAAGACAAGTTATCCATCGTTTAATCGATATGCCACAGATATTTCAAGACTGTGCCAAAATGTATAGCTCAGTTTTTATTCCGCAGCCATCAATAAGAGATTAGTCACTCCTGAGCTGACCTACCAGAAGATGGTGGGGGGAAGGAAGCAGAGGGTAGCTCGCAAGGCAGGAGCAGCTGCGTCGCCCCCTGCAGGGCATGCAGACAGGGAGCTCGTCACCTTCCGCAGTTGGATGCACTTACATATATATATACAGTATATATATATATATATATACACACACACACACGCACACACACGCACAGAGGGACTTACCTCCTGTGGAGCTGTCTGACCGCAGTTGGTGTGCATTTGATTGACTTCAGGTTTTTTTGAGTTCAGGTCTTCACCTGAGAAGGAGGGGACTTTCAGAGTCAGTTCAGCCTGTGATTGCACACATGTATTCAGTCCCACAGTCTTGCAGAATCAGGTGCATGCAACTGCTGAATTATGCACAACAGCTAGTTTGCTTTATCTGGTTCTCCCATAATTCTATAAGTGCTGTGTTGTGCAGCATGGCAGATGCCAAAAGAAATTAACTTGTGGGACACCTATATGTATGACCTGGCAGCTGCTGCTTCATTGTCATAATTGCCCTGGCATTGATTTCACGGGCTGTCAGGTCATGATATGGCATACGCGCTGACACAACCACAGCAGCAGCAACAACAGCAACAACAATAATAATACAGTGATGCTGATGATAATAATAATAGGAGCTTTTAAATTCTGAAAGGCAGATAAAATTAAGCATTATAGTCTGGAAGATTGCTAAACTTGATGAAGTCTTTGATTGCTGAAGTGATTCTTCTTAAATGTCATAGTATGTATTGAATAAAAAAGTATAAAAACCTGAAATGCTTGAGTGAAGTCCAAGTGAGGCCAAAATTACAACAGAGAGGATAAATCGTCCCAAAGCATCCATGATTATCTGAGTGGTCACCTATCTGCAGGATCTTTAACCTGTTTGTCTAGCAGATGTTTCCAATATGCAGGTTCCTTAACCAGTTTGTCTAGGTGATGTCTACTATCTGCAGGTTCCTTAACTTGTTTGTCTAGCTGATTTCTCCTATTTGCATGTTCTGTAACCTGTTCTTCTAGCTAATGTGTCCCATCTGCAGGTTCCTTAACCTAATCTTCTAGCTGAGGTGTCGTATCTGCAGCGTCTTTAACCTCGACTTCTTTATAACACCTGTTTTATCCTACTTCATTTATATATTTTCCCATTGTTTGGCAAGACTGCTGTGCTTTGTAATAATGGTTGTCAGCCAATCACTGTGGAGCAAAGATGGTTATCGTTTGTAGGAGAGAAAAGTACAGAATCTATGGAGGGATTGTAGGGCAGGGGTGGGGCTGAATCCTTTCTCAAGGACATCTGTCTGCTGTTTCTTCTCCTGAGTCAGTGATTGGAGGTTGTCAGTAATGTGTTCTGCTGCACAGCAAGCCTGTATGCATGAATTCCTTGAACTGTACAGTCGCAATTCAATCATCTGAAATGGGTATGCCAGGACCTCTGTATTAATATTTGAAATTATTCTGCAATTAATAATTTTAATCAATACTGGCCCATTCATTTCTGTTACTTATTAGCGTTTGTCTTGCAGTTGTTGCTGAATGCATACGACAGTTATTAAACTCTGCGCTGGAAGTGGGGTTTGGGCTGTGAGGTCATCATTATTCACAAGAGAGGTGAATTTGGGGAAACATCAGCTGGTGGAATTATCCTCTGGGAATCACAATGGCAAAATATATGTGTTAATACACCTGCATGTCTTACTTGTATGATATACTCTATATATTTGCACTTGAATGCACACTGAAAATGCTGGATATGTATATGTATAAATGCACCACATGTATTAATGTCTATCCCTTATCTGTTCAGGATTGATTTGAATATTCTGCAAAGTTTGCCCCATGCATGTATCTGTGCCCCCCCCCCCCCCCCGCATAGTGTCACTGCCTGTGACTGTGGTGGTGGCTGTATGGGGAGGACTGCCTACTATCTAAGACAATACAGTACAGTATGGACCCACCTAATGATATAACTTTATCTGTAATTCTTTCATTGCGCCAGTCAAAGCAAAGCTGATATCTTATTATGTTATATGATCACTATAATATCATTTACTTTTAACTATGAGCCAAGTCTGTCCAAATCAGCCTTTCAGTAGTATGTGAAAGGAGAGATATTTAAATAGCAGAACCCTCAAAATCCTCCAAAATAAGTATGCAAGTTATTTAATACAACTGTTTAATATTGGCCAAAATAACACATTTCTTAGGAAATAAAACTTTTACCTAAAATTTTGAAAACTGTAAGACCCAGTGCCTGCATTGGACCTTTTTATGAATCTTCCAGCATATTCAGAATACTTTTCTGTCAAGGCACTGGTTTCTTCTGAAACAAATGTCAGATTTTATCACTTTCACTTGCTGGAAAGCCGGCAGATCAGATAAAAAAGGATATGAGCATATTCTGATAACCCTGCTCAGTTACTCATTGATGTGAGAGCAGAAAAAAACTGTGATATTTGTATGTCTCCTTGGGACTACATTATTATGTGCCATTAAAGGGACTTCTCAGTCCACATGAGATCTTACAGTTTCATTGATGCTAATAAGCATTAGCAGCATACTAACAGCAATTAAAAATTTAAATCACCCAAGACTCTGACAAGGATAAGCCTTAAGTTAAACAATTAGGAGTACATCATAAATAAACAAATAAATAAATAAATAAAAAGATTCCCAAGCATAAATATGAGTGTTGGTCAAATTATGCAATTCATATTCTGACTATTCAGCGTACTTCTATAAAAGAATTCCCACAGAAATGCAGAAAGATCAATGAAAATTAAGTTATAGTACATAACATCCATGTGTCACATGTAAAGTCTACAAGGCTTTAAGACTTTTTTTGAATCCTTGCGTTTAATCGGCGATAAGACATCTTAGTTTTAAGCATTAATTTAGGGCGTTCCAAATGCGTACAGTCTGAGTTGTGAAAAGCATGAAACGATTCCTTGCATCTGTATGTAAACATATTTTGGTCGCAAGAAATCCTGAGCTGTTCTCTACTGACCCCTGGTGTCGAAATGTAATACCTGTTCAGAGTACATATTGTCTGCTGTGTGCTGTAGTAGTGTTCGAAAGTAACCACCTCTAGTGATAGAAATCAATATGTAGAAGACAAAACAAAGACAGGAACGTGAACTCGACCTTTCGGTCACGGCAGCTCAAAATTATGGAAAGGTCAAATGTTATAGAATTTTAATATAGTTAAAAATCGGTATTATTTTTCATAGAGCGGAAATTTTTTCGTATAATGAATAACTAGAACGAGAGTAATCTTTTAACCAGTTATCCAGTACATGGTCACTTGATGGCTCTGTCTACTGTCTCAAGCAGTACAGTGCACAAGGAAGTACACCATGCACAATATGCCGAACACACAGACACACACACACACAAGAAAATGTATTAACAATAAACGTTCTAAACCACGCCCCTCCCAAACGCCAGCCAATCATCTGATGGAAGGGACGGGCGAATCTAACATACCGGATGTTGATAGACTCTGCAGGAACAGCTGAGAGAGAGAATAAAAACAGCTGCGACATTTAGCTCGAAAAGCAAACGAAAAAAGCGCATAAACAAGAAACGAGTGAGGCTAATTATATGTAATATATATCCTGAAAACCAACAAACACAGGAAAAGGAGATTGTAGACAGCTCAAAATCGACACAAATACTTGAAAAGAGGTGAGAGATGCGAGATTTTTGAGTCCTGTGTGGAGAAAATAGCAGTGTAGCTGTGTAACTAGCTGGGTGGCTAATTAGTGGGGGATGGGTGACAGACTTCGAGCTGTTGTTTACCTTCGTCTACCCAATGAGATTCAGTTAGTCTTTAAGTTGATTTTTGTCGCCCGCCTTGTGCTTTGGTAATAAGTTTACAAATAGACCGTACAAGTACATTTGTAAATCGCTTCCTGTTTGAATAAGCGCCAGACGACCGAAAGTGTTCCTTTTCCATTTTTACGTTACGTGCTGTAGGCAAGTTGATTGTAGGCGTAAGGTTTCTTTTTTCTTTTTTGCTCCTCCTGTTTACTCTAGGCAGTGATGCTAAGTGATCGTCTTCATATCATTTCCATTTTATCGCTGCTGTTAATCACCAGCGCTGAAAACGTCGGCTACACTACCTGCCCCTGCCGTTTCAATTCGTATATTGAATTTGTTTTTCCTTTCGTTGTTTCATTTAAAATGTGACTTTCCATGTCTTAAATGAACGTTTGTGGTCTGCTTTGTTTTCACCACGGGCTTAGCCGCAGCGAATACGCAGGGATGATCTGTTTGTTTACCTCTGATTTTACGAGGAGCCAAAAAGCCTGGGTGTTCGCAATCGTTGTATCATAGTAGCATTCATATATAAATACTGTAATTAATTAATATTGTATTTTTGTATAGTACTTTGTGTTCCCTCTATCAACCCATAGCACCTGTCTGTCGCCACACGCAGTGCGGGGTATGAAATCTTGGCAGTTTCGCGGTCCTTCCTAATATTAATGTATTTTTATTAATTCTCTTGTGATCTAGAGACAGACACTCCGCAATCTGTTTTTGATATCTGGATTAACGTGTTATCAACAAGTGAGTCATATTAAAATGGTTTATTGATCCTCTTTTTTTAACGGATACCTAAGTAGTAAATACGGTTGTTATGGAGGTGATAATTTATTTTCCATAGTTTTTGTCATCAAATATATGACAGCACACCGGCAGAACGGATGTATATCATATTACCTCCAAAGAAGAAATGGGAGCAGGGTGCTCCCAGAGCTTTCCTTAATTTCCTCCTATTTTTATATGGGCGTGAATTTACTGTAAAATGAAACGGAGCCCAAAAAACAGAATGACTCCAGATCTCATTCCTGATTCTTTTGCCAAATGTGTTGATTTGATCACTCTCGTGTGTTACTGGATAGAAATATGTGTACACTCAAATGAAGTTTGTACTTTAAGTACATCCTATGGAGTTTAGAGAAAAATATGCATATATTCAGTAGATGTTATTCAGTGAAACTCACATAAACATACTCCTGTGCTGAGTAACCTTAGAATTTGCACTGTTTTAGACTATCGGTTGCAGTGGTCACTCCTACCTTACGACAGCAGCAATGGGTCGGATTTTCCTCGATCACATTGGAGGCACGCGACTCTTTTCCTGTGCAAACTGTGACACCATCCTGACCAACCGTGCGGAGCTCATCTCCACGCGCTTCACTGGGGCTACAGGCCGTGCTTTCCTCTTCAACAAGGTACTCAAACACTGCCACATACCTCTGCCTTCTTTGCCTGGGTCACAGGCTATGCCTTCTCCATTAAGGTGCTTCACTGAAATGTTCCCATACACATGGCCAGAAATTCTAAATGTGTGTTGTTTGCCCCATAGGATATACAAAAGCAACTTCAATCCCAAATGATGCTTTGCTGCAGGATCCTTCACCTGTCATTATGCTCTTTGTCGCCATCAGGTGGTGAACCTCCAGTATAGCGAGGTTCAGGATCGCGTCATGCTCACAGGTCGACACATGGTGCGCGACGTCAGCTGCAAGAACTGCAACAGCAAGCTTGGCTGGATCTACGAGTTCGCCACAGAGGACAGCCAGCGGTACAAAGAAGGCCGCGTCATCTTGGAGAGGGCGCTGGTGAGGGAGAGCGAGGGTTTTGAGGAACATGTCCCCTCTGAAAACTCCTGAAGCCCCGCCCCTTGCCAGGTCCACCCTCCCCCATTGTCTCAATGATGGCTGACAGTGCCAGTGCCCCCGCACCCCCCCATGGCCCCCACACATCTCAGTGCCTCATCTCAAACTCGGAGCAGCACTGCTGACTTCTGCTCCTCCAAGGGAGCAGCCCTTTTGGCTTTGGGTTGGGCAGATCCCCGACTTGCTAATCCTGTTATCTGCCATTTGGACAGATACGGGGCGGTGCTTTGAGGTAGGTATGTAACAATCAAGCAGATCTGGCCTCGTCCTCTAGAGGTCACTGCATAGATGCAGGAGCCACAAACATCCTCCAAGCTGGACCGATATCCATTTTCGATCTTGTGATGTCAGCGTGCTGTGATTGTTTAACTATATGCGCTTCCTGTCTGTAAGCTGTTGCAAACTGCATACTACAGTAAAGAGTATATATTTCAAACTGCTTCAGGCAAGTTGGTTTGGGGAGGGGAAGGATATTTTCAACGCATTAGAATACCATGTTCTCTGATAATGCAGAGATAGAGAAGCCCTGAAGATGGCCTACAAAACATTCAGTCCTCAGTAAGTGCTTTCAGACATCACAAGTGTGCACGTCTGTATGTCTTGTCTTGTGTGGTGCTGTGATGGTGGGTTATTAAGACAGTATCTTCTACCTGCAGTGATCATCTTTTTCAGGACATTTTGCTTTGAAGCAGGAGTGATTCATATGTTATTACTTATTATTGTTAACCGTTTCTATTTGGATATGAATATTCCTTGTGTTGCGATTACTTTTCCCTTTTTCTGGGTTTCATCGCTAGTGATGGTGTCTGAATAAAGTTGGTGCTCTTGCTGAAAGTATCATTCTGCTTCATTTCATTAATGGTCTTCCTCGGCCCCTTGTGCTTTTAATTATTACCGTGAACCCACAACACGGAGAACGTGAGTGTGTCAGGCAGTTCATTGAGAAGGAGAGAGAATGTGTTGCCGTCGTGCCGGTGTGTTGTGTTGAATATACACAGTTGTTTCCTAGTGTTCATCATGTAGCTCGTAGGCAAACTTCAGCTACAGTGCACTCAACATTCAGCACTACTTCAACACTGATGATACTGACAGTAGTTTAAACTGGATTCTTAGTATTGTGAGTAAAAGCTATATAGAACAACCTCAATCAGCAGACACCTGTCCGCAAATATAACCGCAATTAAAGGAATGAAGAACGTAATTAGGCAATGCAGTCCATTTTCTGAGCATCCTGAGTGCCGTAACTGTCAGCCACAGATCACATTTCATCAGTGCTGTCAGAGGTGAATCTTTCACTGAACCCAACCGGGTTGTTGCAGCCATTTCGTCATGTATATTTAATCAATCTTCAGTGTACTTTTAGTAAAGGTGTAGAATGGCCTTAAGAAGAAAAATATATAGAGACATAGAGACATAAATATTTTATATGCATTTGTTTGATATACACATTTATACTGTATGGACAAAAGTATTGGGAAACACCTCTTAGTCACTGAATTCAGGTTTTTCATTTGGCCCAATTGCCACAGGTGCATAAACTTAAGCATCAAGCCATGCAGTCAGGTATACAAACATTTGTGAAATAATGGGTTGTTCTGAGGAGCTCAGTGAATTCAAGTGTGGTACTGCCATAAGATGGCACCTTTGTAATAGGCCAGTCCATGAAATTTGTTCCCTGCTAGATATGCCACGGTCAGCTGTAAGTGGCATTATTGCAAAGTGGAAGCGTTTAGTAACAACCGAAGCGCTGACAGTGACAGACCACATAACGTAACAGAACGGGGTCACCGAGTGCTGAGGTGCATAGTGCATAAAAGTCCCCAGGGCTCTTGACTCAGTAACTGCAGAGTTCCAAACATCCTCTGGCATCTCCAACACTAAAACTGTGCACCAGGAGCTTCATGAAATGGGCTTCCATGGCCAAGCAGCTGCATGCAAGCCTCACATCACCAAGCACAATGCCAAACATCTGATGGAGTGGTGTAAAGCACACTGTCACTGGACTCCGGAGTAGTATAAACATGTTCTGTAGAGGGATGAAGCACGGTTCTCTGCCAGGCAGTGTGACGGATGAGCCTGGGTTTGGCAGATGCCAGGAGAACATTACCTGCCTGACTGTAATGTGCCAACTGTTCAGTTTGGTGGAGGAGGGATAATGGTAAGGGGTTATTTTTCAGGGTTTGAGCTAGGCCCCTTAGTTCCAGTGAATGCTCTTAATGTGGCACAACTTTACAGAAGAAAGATTTATAAAAATAAAAGTAGGTCGATATAAACGATTAATCCTCATCCTACATCTCATTTTGAAAATATTTTGATATTGCATAAAATGTCAATATATAGCCCAGACCTAGTGCATTTTTGTGCAAATAAATATTGACCAACATGAGCAGCAACCAGCCATGAACAATAGAAAACTATACAAATGACAGCGGACCAGGAACCGTAGACAGTGCAGTCAGTTACAATGGCGCACCTATAATAATGGCACGCTCTGCTTTTCACAGTAACAAGCTAATCTTGTATCACAAGGCTAACCGTGCTGGTATGCTCCTCTAAAACTACAAAGCTCAGGCATTTTCATTAATGCACCCAAAATCCTTACAAAGACAAGAGGGTGTTGTTGACCTGAGGACAAAAAATACACCTACATGTCCATGTGTAAACAATGTTTACATACCATACAATCACAAGAGACAAAAGCTTGCTAATAAATGTCCTAGAGTTCCATCCCACACAGCATGCCACTGGCTCCCTAATCAATTCACAGAGGTCTAAGCGGAGGTGGAAGCACCTGTCACATGAAAAAACCTTTCATGACACGACCAGGTTACACCCATTACTGAAAGACATATTTTAGAGTAAAAGAATCAAGAATAACTAGAGAAATAATTAAAAAAAAGATGTCAATTAGCATCTGTTAGTGTTACAGGCATTGAAATTTACTGCAATGATTAACAAGAAAATACGATTTGTACACAACCCTGTTATGTACTCGGATTGCAAAGAGGTGTTAAAACAACACACCCTTCTGCACTAATTTATAGCCTACATTATAGTTTGATATTGCATCATTGAAATCTTCTTATTATTATATAATCATCATATTTGTCCCAAAAAGAGTGACAATGTTTTTAATCTATTTTTGGCTCTATCTCTTTTTATTTATTTCTATCTCTGTGTCTCTGTGACAGGACAGCAGGCAAAAGTTGAATAAAGAACGACGTAGAAAATAACGAGTGTGTTGAAGCACTCTTAAATTCACGAGCATGATTGTGAACCACAAAGGAATTCAACATTCATTCAATCACTGTTGACTTTAGTTTTGATTTTGAAAATCAAATCGATGTTGATATTGCGATGTTGTTTCATTGTCTTTCTTTTCAACATGGGTGAATTTAGGTCTCTCATTTAACATTGACAGGTTTTTTTTCGTGGCCACTGTGCATCAAATCATGTGTTTATTATTTTCAGTATTTTAACTTTCCCGCAGCGTGTGGCTCAGTGGGCTAAGCCTGTGTGCCTGCAATCAGAAGGTTGCCAATTCAAACCCAGCCTCTGTGGGTCCTTGAGCAAGGTCTTTAACCCCCAGCTCCCTGGTCGCCGCTACTGGTAGCTGCCCTTCACAGACAGCTTAATCTATGAAAAGAGCAAGTTGAGGGAGGCGTAAAGACAATTTCCCAAGGGGATCAATAAGGTATCAATTATTAAATACTAAACCAAGCTCACATAATCACAAAAATGTGCACAAGATTTCATTTTTGTGTTCTCAATTTATTTTCTATTTCAAGCCCTCAAATTATTTTTTTATTTAATTCAATTTACCATTTTCTGTGTTTTTGCAAAAAAAAAAAAAACATGCCCTCGGAGCCAGAAGCTGGAGTTTAGCATGTGAGTGCTACGGCTTCATAGCTGTGCCATCCACTCCTTTGAGACCATATCTTTAGGATAGTGCATAATACAGTATGTCCCCCATTCCTAATTTTTTCTCCTGTACTTTTTATAATAGCCAAAACTACGCTTCATGGCCATTTAGTTACCTTCTACATATTTATATATCAGGTACTTTTTTAATGAATTTACTTTTAATTTTAATGAGTTGCAGGGGCGTTTCTAGCTACTGAAAAAATCAGGAGCTAAGTCAAGTTTCTCTGGGGCTTTATTTTTTGGGACACTTAAGCTATTATTGACACCCATGTAATGTCCAATAAAACAGGCATTGTTTCCCCAAGTGTGCTTAGGCAATACCCTTTCTTATGGTCAGGTCAATACAGCAAGCCTATTTGAACTGAATTGCATACCCACGTTCAATGATTCAGCCAAGAATTGTGAAGGTGTGTGGTGAATAAATATGGGTGGAAATGTGGAAGCAGGGTAAATAAACCAAAATGATTTAATGGCAGGCAAACTCATGGTCAGGCAATCCTCCCTTATGAAAATTCACTGTGGTTTCCCAGTTTTACTATAGTACCTCATGGTACTTTGGTACTACCCATAGTACTACCATGGTTTATCCATAGCACTCCATGGTAGCTGTGGTAAATAAGAAAACCATGGTTTGGAAAGACCATGGTAAAACAAAGACCATGGTAAAACAAATACCATGGTTTATGATCAAGATTATACTAGGGTTTAACTGTAGTGAAACCATGATAAAACCATAGTCATGGTTTCCATAGTTACCCAAAACACCAATGAAAAACAGCAAACCATTGTAAACCATGGTTATTTAATCATAGTAAAACCATGGTTAATTTTCATAAGGGCTGGTTCAAAGCCAGCACAAGCAAAAACAGGATGCAAATAGTTAGGCAAATGAAGGTCAGTAAAAGACACAGGTCAGGCGAGGAGTGAGGCACAAGCAGACATCAGGGGGACAGGAGTCAGAATCAGTAAACAGATAATCATACAGGAACCATTTAAACTCTGAAACTGAGACCATCTCATACCAAAGAGCAGCATACTGTAAGGCACAGTGAAATAGAGCTCCTAGTCAATCTGAATCTACCACAGCTGAGAAGGGCGTGGCTTCTGATAGGAAAATGGTTCTTCTGGCAGGAGATGAGAGATTGGTGATAAGGAGCCAGTAGAACAGGTTTTCCCATGACATTGATAGATTTTTAAAACTGGAGCTCTTCATATGGATGCATGTGTCTTTTTGTGTCCTGTGTAGCAGTTGATTACTCCCCTGTCCTTCAGACGCTGAGAGTCAAGTTCTGTTCTGTTATACAGTTTGTGTGTTGATTTGCTATAACACCTCTTTTTTCCATCTGAAAACACGCCTTTCTCCTTTTTTCAGTGCAAAAATACTCAAGGCTAGGCTTACAAATGTTTGGGGCTATAGTCGTGGGTGATCAGACCTACCAATGCTAATGACGAGTAGGCCTACTGTACGTTAAGGTGCTTTCCCAAAAAAGCTCAGGAACCTAGTTCCTCGTTCCAAGTTGCTGGGCTGTCTCAACTGGGAACCTTTATAGCTACTGATCACTTTCGTGTGTTGCTTTCCCACCATGCAACAGAAACTGTGACCTTTATACTAAATAAGCATGCTCAGGTTAATTATAGTTACCAGATAGCGCATAGGTGTGTATGTGAGTGGATGAATGGTGTGTGAGTGTGTCC